GCTCGTATTTAATATCCTTCCTAAATTATCGATCACTGTCAATTGATTAAGAGCTCCGAGTAATTGTGCGCACATTTACATACATACARACATACAATCCAACGGTATTCAAGTTGAAACGCCTACACCGTAGCAATTTTAAATGGATTATGGCGCAGATAACTTGAAAATGACAAATTACCAAGCCGATAATTAAGTAGCTCAAATTGCGAAAATTAAAAATGTCCATTAAGTAGCGAAATGTAGAAGTACGAACATACGYATATTAAAACAGAACTATTTTGAGTTTCAATTGAATTTTGGCGCAAAAATTGCGTTTAAGCTTTCATATTAGAAATGAATTTCCAAAAATATTTTAATAGATATTCAAACAACTAAATTTCTTTAAATTATTAATCAAAAGCATGCCCACTCACCTCTCGCCATCATCGTTGAATGAGAAATCGCCGAGCAATAAATCGCGAAAACGATAGCGTGGTGCAATCATTTTGGTTGTTGCGGTTGTTGTTGCTGTTGAGGATGTACTGGCTGCCGCTGTCGCACTGGCGTTAGTTGTTAGTGGCGCCACAGCTGCGCGTGCAATCGCCTCCAACGAACTGCGGCCACGTCCGCCCTTGATGACATACTCTTCGGTGGCGGAGTGTACGCCGCCTGTCGTTTCCACGGCATTCCAGTGTGAGGTGCCGGTAAGAAAGTAGCCGCCACCAGCCCGGTTGGGCCGTGGCGAACGTAGACGCTGCCACAGATTGGCCAGAATAGTGGTTTAACGCGCGCGGTTGTAAGRGAAAAGAAAATAATTAAATGGAGAGAGGCACGGCGGCCGTGGCGGTAGGAAACACTAAGACTAATTATATAATTTAATATTACTTTTTTTTTTTACTTTCAACTATTTATTGAAACGCACAATTTCGAAAAAACAAGCAAACACTAACGGGATATATTTTTAAATTTTCGAAAAAAATGTATACAAAAATCGCGTCATTTTCACAATTTGCTGCGCGCAATACTCTTTTTTTTTTTTAAATATCACAAAGGTTAGGGAAAAGTGAGGTTAGCTGAAATGAAAAAAATGTATATATTTTTATAATTATTATTACTTTTAGTTATTTGCTTTGAAAAAGCATACATAATTAAATAAATAAGTAAGATATAGTAGAAGATATAAATAAATATTTAGTAATAAGTGAAAGCCTCACTTTCGAAGAGCGCACGGGGCTCAATACTCATGTCACATGAGTCATGTGAGTTGCAGAAAGTCTCAGCTTAGCGAAAAACAAACAAAAACGTTTACTCTCGGTTACTCCCTGCACAAATACAAAATATTACTTACGAGAACTTGATTTTGATCGGATAGTTTGTATGGCAGCTACATATATACCACTACCAAACGATCCAAACACTTTCTTCGGAGATTTGAATTGCTACCTATGTCAATTTTCGTGAAGGTAACACTGTGGGCGAAAAATAGTAACATAAATAGTAAAAAATAGTAAAAATAGTAAATAATGACTGTCAGTAACATCTGTGTGAAATGTCACATCAAATAGTCATTAGTATTTAGTATTGTTGTTTCACAACTCACAACTTTATCGATGGTTTACAGTTACTTAAAATATTCATCTCGGCCAAAAATTGCAATAAAACACGAAAATTTCCGAGAGACTATTTTCGACGTAGATTATCTCAGCAACTTTGTATGGATGTACTTAAATAAACTTTTGCCGATGAAGCTCCATCAAGGACCACGGTTCATCGATGGTATAGTGAATCCAATCGAGGTCGTAGTTCAAGCCAAAACGAATTTGTTGAAGGACGTACAAAATCAGTTCTTGTTCCGGAAACCAGTATTGATGTTGAGCGCAAACTGATATTGCAAGATCATCATGTGAGCTATCGCGAAATGATTATATTCATTTAACCGTAAAAAAATGTATTCATGTTGGCTCTCACAGAATTTGTCAATCGCTCAAAAACAGGCACGTATTGATTGGTCGTCAGTCTTCACCATGACTATGCGTGCTCGCACACATCGGCTGAAGCAGCTGCATATTTGTGCAGTTAATAACATCGATTGAAGTCATAGCTCAATACGCCGTATAGTTCCGACTTAACACCCAATGACTTCTCTTTATTTCCGTGCGTAAAAGATAAACTGAACAGGCGGTTGATGCGTTCAGAATGCATGTTTCGGAGATATCTCAATGAGAGTTGCAAAGGTGCAGATCTTATTGAAAAAGTAAAAAAATAATTGCAACAAGTAAGGAAGGGCTAAGTTCGGGTGTCACCGAACATTTTATACTCTCGCATGATAAAGTGATAATCGGGATTTCAGGCGTGGTTGTGAATTGATTTCACCCATATTTGGTACATGTCATCAGGGTGTTAA